CGATCCCTTATGTTCAGTGGATGGTCCTGGTTTTGGCGAATTATTCTCATTTTCTTTAGATGGTCCTGGTTTAGGCGATCTATTTTCTTTAGATGGTCCTAGTTTAGGTGATTTATTTTCTTTAAATAGTTTAAGTGATTCATTTTTATTTACAAGAATTACCTTTTTACCATCAGGTTTGATTTGAATGTCTGATATTATTTTAATTTTTGAGCTTTTCTTAACTTTTTCCACTTTCTTTGGAACAATTTTCTTTGGTGGGTCGAACAAGTCTTCTTGTGTATCAAAGAAATGCTTGACTTTTTCTCTCCATGAATATTGGTCTCCCTTTTTTTTTTTTTTGGAATTTCACTCTGAGTTTCACATACAGCTGACATATGTAATGATGGTGATTTAATTATACTAGTAGGAAAGGTATCTAAGGGTGGACGCGAAAGAGCATCTGCATTAGAATTTTTTGTTCCTTTTTTGTATTGAATAGTATAATCATATTCTTGAAGTTTTAGTCTCCATCGGACTAACTTTGAACCTGGGTCTTTTACTGAAAAGAGCCATTGAAGAGGTTTATGATCAGTCACGATAGTAAATTTTTGACCAAATAAGTAGGGTCGAAAGTACTCTGTCGCCCATACAATTGCGAGAAGTTCTTTTTCTATTGTAGAATAATTACATTCGGCTTGATTAAGGGTTCTACTTGCATAAGCTATAGGTAGATCAGTTCCAATAGGACCTTGAGAAAGAACTGCGCCTATTGTGTAGTTTGAAGCATCTGTTGTAAGGACAAATGGTTTTGAAATATCAGGATATTTTAATATTGGGTCGTTCATTAAAATATTCTTACAAAGATTGAATGCATCGACAAATTGTTTGTCATGAATTATTTTGACATTTTTCTTTAAATATTGAGTTAAAGGTTTGGTGATCTTAGCAAAGTTTTTAATGAATTTCCTGTAGTATCCTACAAGTCCTAGAAAATATATTATTTCTTTTGGTGTTCTTGGAATTTTAAATTTCTTTATTGCTTTTAGTTTCTTTTCATTTGGTTTTATACCATCCGAGGTTATTGTATGTCCAAGGAATTCAACAGTTTTGTGGAGAAATTCACACTTATCTAGTTGAATTTTCAAATTGAATTGAATAAGTCGTTCAAATACTCGTCGTAAAGAATCAAGGTGTTGTTGAAGCGATGTTGAGTATATGATTATGTCGTCTATATAAACTAAACATATTTTACCAAGTAATTATTTCAATACGCTCTCTGAAATGTGGAGGGGGCATTTTTCAAACCGAAGGGCATTCGTAAGAACTCGTAATGTCCGTGCTCTACATTAAAGGCTGTTTTTGGTATGCTTTTAGGATCCATTTCAATCTGGTGGAATTCGCTTGCTGAATCCAAGGTTGTAATATATTGCGATCTTCCAAGCTGATCTAATATATCCGCTATATTAGGTAATGGATACCTGTCATCTATGGTTTTCTCGTTTATCTTACAATAATCTATAACGAGTCTCCATTTTTTCTTTCCTGATGCGTCTGCTTTTTTGGGTACAATCCAAACAGGTGAGCTCCAGGGTGAGCTCGAAGGTTGTATAATTTTATCTTGTAACATTTTTCCTATTTGATTTTTTACTTCCTCTTTATGAACATGAGGGTATCTGTAGCTTTTGGTATGTATTGGAATTTCGTCCGTTGTATTAATAACATGCTTTACTTAATTTGAAAAAGTTAAGGTATCTCCAGGTCTATGCAAAATTTTATTAAATTTTTGGATAAGTTTGAAGAGTTGAAGGCGTTCTTCAGCATTCAAGTGTTCTTATTAGAGATTTTAAATCGACTTTTTCAGGGTCTTTCTTCTGTAAAGGTTTTGGATGTGACGTAGTTGTTTGTTTTTCGAAAGTTAATATCCCAAAGTTATTGAGTTCAATCGGTTCGAATGGTAAATTTTCTTCAATATCACAATCTATGTCAAATGATCTGTCTGAGTGATAACGAATATCTACAGTGTAAATATTATCAACAATTGTTACTAATGTTGGTTGTATTTCAATAAATTCGTCATGTACATAAGGTAATAGCCAAGATGTATTATTTCGTAACTTAGTTTTAAAAGTAACCTTTTATATAGTTTTAGGAGGTATTTCAACTATATATTGATTGAAATTTTTCCTGTATTGGAAGGGAATTTGTAAATATTCATTTACCAATAGTTTATTTTTTAAATCAATTTTTAAATTTAATTTACGAAGATATTTTATACCTAATATGCCATCAAAATACTCATGAAATGGGTACAGAATGAACTCCAAGGGTTCAGATATGCCTTATAAGGTAATAGTAATGGAATGTCTGCTTTACTTGTAGTCTTTTTATTTCCTGCACAAGTTTGTAAAGTAGTTTTATAAGGTACAATTGATTCTGGTAATAAAGTTTCGGCTAATGAAGGTCTGAGTAAGGATGCATGAGATCCTCTGTCTATAAGTAGTCGAATATTATACTTAGAATTAGGAATATTGATATATGGTAATCGATTAATCTGAAAGCTATTTAAACTTAAGCATGATTTTTTGTTTAATCCGAAGCTTGTTATTGAAAATTTTTCAATTGTTCAGCTAGAGTTTCATCAGTAGTTGACGATTGGTCATTTTCGTCATAGTCAAATATTTGATTATCTGAAAAATCAAATTCAGTGTTGTCTTTATAGTTATTCTCATCTGCATGAGTTAATTCCTGAAACGTAAAGTTAGGAGGTCTGAGGTCTTCCTGTTGATTGGAAAGGTTTTTGAGTATGTCTTACAGTTCACATATTTTTACGAGGTTGACCCCCACCTGACATAGGTTGAGGGTAAGTTTGTTTAGAAGTTGATTGATTTTTATTAGTTTGATTTATATATCCTGTTCACAATCCGATGTCCACAGGTGAAGGTAAATTTATCACCTTTCCCTATCAAATAGCATTGAAAGGTGATTTTACCTGTACCTACCTGTGGACATCGGATTGTGAATAGATAATAGGTTCAAATTGCTTTTGAGGTTTGAACTCATAATGTTCGACTTTGATTATTTTGGTAATTATTATTTGATTTTGAAAAATTGGATGTTGTTGCTGTTGTTGGTTTTAAATTTTTTGTTTGATTATGATTTTGTAAAAATGAATTTTTAAAGTTATTCTGATTTATTAAAATTTCATAATTTGTAATAATGTCAATAGCAGTGTCAAGATTTTGAGGATTCTGGACAATTAATAGTGTTCTCAATTCACTAGAAATATTTGCCAGTAAATTTTGAGTTGCATTTAACTCATTTTGAATTATAAAAATTGTTCGCGCTTCTATATTTGCAATGTCCGTACAAATTTTAGTGTTTATCTTGATAACTAAGGCTTTGAGTTTTTGAATATAGTCTTGAGTTGACTCATTTTTCTTTGTTAAAAATATTAACTGTTGTTGCTTTGCTCGGGTGAGAGGATCACTGAACTTTTGTCTTAGGACTATTTTAATTTCATCCCAAGTTGTTAAATCAGATCTGGTTAGGAGAAAATCTTCGGCAGATCCTGTTATTTTGGATTTTATAGCAACATTGACATATTCTTGTTGTGAAACGTAATTATTAAAATATCTATTATGGATGGTATCAATTTGCTTGACAAAAGCTTCCAAATGTGATGGAGTATCATCAAAAGTTTAAGAGTAGGTAACAGTTGATCTCAAAGCGTCAGCCATTTCGTTATTTATTAATCTAGAATTATTATTAATCGGTAAATTATTGAAGTTAAAATTATTAAAATCGTTAGTATCATGTGTTTCTAAACTAATGTTAGAATATAAACTAGCTATATCAAAATTAGGAAAATCGTCGGTTAAAAGGCGATCTTCTGTACTTGTTGAAGGTTGATTTGATGATTGAGGTTGCTCTGTTCCTCGTTTTGGATTTCTTGGATAAGAAATTTCTTCTAAGATTTTCTTAGAACGATCTCTAAATTTTTTCATTTAGAGTGGTACAAAGGATTTGTACAAATGTTTCACTTCACTTGGTTTAATAATTAAACCTTAATTTGAAAAAGTGAAACTTCACTTGTTTCGAAATGAAAACAATGTCTTAACTAACAGGCTGTTCAATTATAGGAAGGAACTTACAAAAGTATTTCAATCTCTGACCTGTATCGAACGTTATCTTCGCTGAAATATACTGCTCAGGTTGGACAAATCTGTAGTGGACACTAGAATACACCAAAATGTCCGGGCTGGCTTCTCTCGTTATGGCGAACTACACAGCGATGTCTGCCAGGAGCCAATAGCACTTCACTTTTGTTCACTTTGTTGTTGTTTGGTGTTCCTTTCTTAACTGTTAGGACAGATAGGTACGCACTCACGTAATCCAATTCAAACTTTTCGAAAACCCGAAAAAAAACTCGAAAAGGAATCCTGTTATACCTGAAAGGCATCCTACCGACTGCGCCAGTTATGTTTTAAATTAAGCAATTTATATTTTTAAAAAACTTTATTACTTAATAAATAACGTGTGAACCTATTGAAGCGAACTAAAGAACTAAACTATTATTGCTCTGCTCGAATTTATATAAAAGAATAAATGCTGAGCTAGACTATGACTAATTGTTATTACAATTAACATGAATTATCGGAGATGGCCATATAATTAGGGATTTGGACAATATAACTAACAAATGGAAATAAATAGACTCCGTGCAAAAAAAAACTTTTCTTCACTAGTTTTATTTACATTTATATCCTGGCAGAGATAATACCTGTACAATGTTGTCACGTGGTTAACATTTTTCTAAATTTAAATTCTGCGATAACTTCGAAAATACTAACAATTGACCCATGGTTAATAGGACACTTTTAGCTTGAAATGGGCCATATTATCTCATGTTAAAATATTTGTACTCATACCTGATACACCCTGTAAAGCAGTTTTCCTATCTATGTCTATTTTCTTTATATTTCTTCTCACACTAACTAATTTTTAATAATTTATTATAGAGGGAAGAATCTATGAAGAGGCTTCTGGAATGGAAACAGAGAATGCTTCAGTCGCCTTTGAACCGAAAGGCACAGGCTCAAGCTTACAGAGGATATCCGATTGGTAAAGAAAACGCCTATTATACTGCGGACAAAAAGCAGAAAAAGTCGACAATAACGAATAGAAGATCCGTTCACAATTTGGTGCAGTACAACAGCTACTCCTCGGATGATGAAGGTACGTGATAGTTGTCTCAAAGTTTGGGTGTAGCAATTTCCAATAAGGGGTTTGAGGTAAAATTCTAAGTTTAATGCAGCGTCTTAGTAATAAGTGAGCTGGGTATTGTATTATAGAAAATTTTATGGAATTCCTACTAAAGAAGACCAGAAAAATCAATACAAAATAGGCAGTAATATAATCCATTACAACGAATTTCTACTCCTATTTCTTCAATTTTGCAAAATAACAATTTGTCTAACACACAAAATAAGGAACTAACATAATGCTCACAAGACAACGCTGTATTAAAATCTATAGTAGGTACTTAGTTGCCCATCAACTATCACTTTAACCAATCTCAAACCCCAAAAAAATATTTTCCTATAAACTTGTATCGTTATCTATATATTAGACATTCATGTAGGTATTGTATTGATTGTGAAGCACTATATAATAAGGTGATGGTTTTTATAGCGGTGTCGGTATTACTTTTTGGGTGTAGTCTCTATAGGTCCTTCCTGCCTGAAGACTTATTGTAACTGTAACTAACACATTTTCAAAAAATAACCTTCGCAACTACATACCTTCCACTAACAAGTTTGTTTAAATCAATTCAAAATGGTCTGATGGCGATGGACTACTTCTTGATGTAAATTTTTTTGTGGGCTCAGAAAATGGGGAGAAATCGAGCAAGCACGACACACAGGCAGGACGGACCGTGGACACATTTCCGAATAATTCTGACTCACTTACACGTGCATCATTCACTTCTACCACTGCTTTGAATCACCCTGATGAGCCGTCAGTCACATCCATCACATCTTCTTTGATCACTAACCAACAAGATGCACATCCTGATTCCCCTGTCATTGCACAATTATCTTTAACTGACGAATTTAGCGATCCTAGTGATGCACTGGTCAAAGCAATATTGTCGGAGTTTCAAAACGTTTTGCCTGAAGTAGAAGGAAATTATACGCCTATGTCAACGAAAAAGAATATTTTGGATCCAGATGAAAATCATTACGTCGAAATGACTAGAGCTGTTGATAGTGCCCTTATGGATTCTTCCAATGATAATGACCAGCAACAATACGAAATGGTTTGCTTTAATGGGGGCAAAACAGAGCCGGTTTATATGGAAGTCCCGCAAGAACAAAAACCAGATAATAAAGAACTTCCAGATATACTCAAAAGCCCATCAGTTCTAGGAAATAAAGAAATTAAATCTGACAGCAGTGATGCCGATGATGAAGCTTCAAAGGACCTTGACTTAAAGCCTAGATTCAGTCTTTCAGATTCCTTCAGGCCAGCTTCATATTATTTAGGAGTTAGCAAAACCATTCCAGAACTTCAAGACAGCTCTGATAGTGAACTAGTATCACCACCTCCAATTCCGGCAACATCACCACCTTTAGACGATGACGACTTTATACCCACCATCCGCATTAAAAAAGATAGAAGCTTTGATGCATCAACACTCACGAGAAACTCTGAAAAGAGCAACTCGGTTAGTAGAACCAGCTTTTTGTCTTTAAGAGACTTTAAAGATCAAGATAGATCTTCCATTGATTATGGACATTTTGATCGTACTAGCATTAGCAGCGGTTCAATAGCTTCACTACCGCCCAACAGTCGTACACCTATATCTGAAGATTTCAGTACCCCAACAGAATATGGGAGAATTGAAAATATTCAGAGTGTAGAAAAGTACTTTGAAGCCCTTAAATTATCAGGTGATCCTGAAAAAGATGGACACGCATATGAAAACTTTTTGGTCACCAAAAAAATGATAATGGATGATTTTCAACCAAGATGTAGGCCAGAGAGCAGTTGTTCTGTTTCAGCAGAAATCAGTAGTTTCTTCGCCAATTCCAATCGATCTACACCTATAGTTGTTGATTTATCCAATAATCGATTGGAAATACCTCAATTGGCCCCCTATTACTATTCAGATCTATCTTCCAGCCTAGAGCCTTCATTAACCTTGAACAATCAAAGAGAGAGTATTAATGGCAGTAAACGAGATATAAGTCACATAATAAATCCTCTTAAGTGCAACGAGCAAGAAGAAGGTGATCTTCAAGAAGCTAGTAGTAATTTGCTTGCAGCAGAAGCCCGCTCTGTTTCGGTGGATTTCTTGAACTTAGCCGACAAATCTGATAATATTGACAAAAAGAATTTGTATGAATCAGACACTTTGAAAAGGCAAAAAGCTCGGGATGATGATAATGATCCCGAGTCTAGAAATTTTTATTCAACCCGAAAAAATTATAAATTTAACCATGAGAAAATAGTAAGAAAATCTTATTCTTTAGAAGGGCTTCTGGAAAACATTGTTAATGAAAGTGCTAGTAAAGCTTTAACTGACAATTCAGCATCTGAAGGAAGTTATTTATGGGAAGAAGATTCACTTTGGAGGGAGCAGCTTCGTTCAGTCAGTCAAAGACACACAAAATCAATGGACGATCTAGATTCAATAAACGTAGACCAAGAATCTTCTCAAAAAAAGCCTTCCAGAGGAATAACCCGTGAAGTAACTTATGTGAATGATATTTTATTCAAACAAAACGACTCGTTGACGAAAAAATCAACGAAAACCGAAATTAAGAAAAAAGGTAGTTTTTTAATCGATAGGGAAACGTTAAGACAGTGGGATTTAATGTCCAGTGCACCATCCGACGATCAATTAATAAAAGTGGTGGATGTGCTAGGCGATCAGGTTCACGTAGTGGTAGACTCTGGTGAAGGTAGTACCGACACTGGCGATAATGGAAACAACCAAGGAACAGGTAATTATTTTCTGTTTGTTTTTTGATTGACACTAAACTGTAGATATAGCTTAACTGTTTGTTTATATAAATTTATATACGGACTTTTACAAGATTCGAGTTAACACAACCCTGCTTTAAGATAAGGATGCAAAATATAAATGGATACAGAAATCAGGACATTTAGGGTTCCTCTATATGTCAATTTTTTGGTGAATTAAGAATATGTTAATAATGTAGAAGTTGAGCTGTTGTATTGCAAATTCAACTGAGAACCTTCCTCTTACGTTTATGACATGATTCCATTGCTGTCATATCTAATACCTAATAGAGTATTTTTGATCGATCGACTGATCTTTTTTGTGGCCCACATCATCTTGACACTGTTCCATTACGGTTTCCTTGAGGGCTAAAGTCAAAGCAGTATCGCTTGGTAAGTTTCAGTATCAAAACCATGACTCTTGTGTTTATACTCGTGATGTCTGCAATGCTGCTGGCATGTGGATGATGAACCGTTCTCCGCAAAGTGGAGTTGCTTCTTCTTTTTGATGATTTCGGATTTCAAGATCTTGTTCGTCTTTTCAGCTCACTTTATTCAGCCCCACAACAACACACCATTTGATTTAGTGAAGTTCTTCTTCCATTTTCCAGTTTATCGTCCGATGAAGCTGTTATGTTATTGAGTGTAAATACATTTTCCTTTTTCTGTTGGTAACTCGATCTACTCCAGTAAATTATATCATCCTCTATCGTCTGATCTGACTTCTGACTGGTACCTTTGTCGAGATACTTTAGATTGCCAAAGCAATCTGTGGGAATCTTCGACTGGTGCTCCATAACCTCCATGAAGTTGGTTGGTCAATTTCCTAACAACCTGGCGCAGTAGGTCTGGGGATGCGAAGCAAAGAAGGATTCAGTAGTAGGGGGTGTTTTATAGGAGTACAGCTAGAGAACAAGATTTCCCCTAGGACTTAGAAACTAGACATATCAAAAGATTGCAAAGGAAGGCGTGTTAGGTTCTTGGTTTTTCACCGTGATCGGAAAAAAGTACCGGTCAATCGACTCCAAAACCATCTCAGTATCCTTCTTCAATAGCGCTTTGCTTTATTTCTAATCGTTTTTCCCATGTTTCTTCACCATTTCAAATGTGGTAAATAGGTATAGGTACATTGAGCATCCCTGACTTTATGTGTAAGCTACCCACAACAATCTTATCTGTATCTGTAAGTGTGGGAGGGTGGTATGGTATGCCACATTAGGCCCATTGCGTGCGCCTCCATAAGAGGAGAGGTCATCCTTAGCTCGTCATCCAGCCTAGTGGTTACACGTAGGCGATGACGTCGCCGTGGGCAGTGCCTCTGATCTCTTCTAGCGATTGGCCTAATCTGGCTCTGCGTCTGATCCTCCACAATTGTGGTTGTGGAGTCAGGAAAGTGGGTTGCTGTAGTAACTCTTTGCTTTCTTGAAGGTTGGCAGTGAAGGTGAGGTGATATCCTCCTTGCACAGGATACCAATTTTCCAGGCATCTCTTTGTTTTTGTCGTACGGTACGACTTTTTTTTTATACTGGTTCCAATTCTCAAATAGTTTGGTTTTTCTATGTTTTCTTGTCGTCGCCCTGAGGTGTTCCAGTTCCTGACACCACCAAGCAGACGTGTTACCAGAGCTTTGGTACAACAATCTTATTCTTCTCCTACATATATTTCCAGATCTGGATAATTGGCTTGACAGAATGTTATGGTTTGAACTAGTAGGGTAGTAGGTACGTATCAGGTATTTTTACCTACTTGTTCTGGGACATGTCCTAATATTACTAGTTCATGTTGACAATTTTGAAATTTTTATTTTAATGAAGAATTAAAGGAGTCAGCGCCAATAAGAACCCTAGAAAGAAATTTGCATATCGGCTATTGACAAATTTTCAAGGAAGCTGAGTGGCTTTGGCTGATTCATGACTCTTGTTGAAACATCTATTGTAGTTTTGCTTTGTGTTGAATATGAAAATACTGTACAGAAATATGTATATAGTTTACTAAAAAAATACCTGAATTAATAGATTATGATGACAACTGTTATTTAGATAAAAGATTCTACAAATTTATGTTAATATGGAAAAATAATGTTGTTTTTTCGGAAAAATGGCCAGAGGTGGTAGCAACACGATCACGCCAAAGACTTTTTATCATTTTTTGAACATTTACTTCCCACAATTTGTAGGTAATAGAAGGTACCTACCCTACAAGGTGTA